GAGAGAGTTCTGCCTCTAGGAGGCCTCCTTTTGAGCCCAGAGGGTGGTCAAACTAGCCAATCTCTAAGCACCTGAGAGAGAGTGGGAACCTCCCAGAACGTTGTATTGTGCCACGCCCAACAGAAATACTCCGTGTGGATAACATTTACAATCAGGAGCTCCTCGATTGCTCATTCCACCACTGAGTTTACAAGGACTTATGGGTAGAAAAGCCATACAAAGTAATTTACTACACTGCATCATCCTTTGATTTTTAGCTTATTTTTATGTTTGTGTTTTCTAATTTTCCATTTATTTTGTCAATTTGTTCTTGTTTTTTTGAATTCTCTGGAATTTTGTCTGTGTTTTCTTTGATTTTATCTGGTTTCCTTGATCTTTCTCAATCCATTGAAAGGAGCTAAATATAATTTTTAAAAATTTCTTCTCAGGTAGTTCCAATAGCATTTCTTCCTCCAGAAGATTTTCTGTTCCTGTATTTTAGGCTTGCTTATGCTATCTTACTCTTTTTTTTTTTTTTTTCCTGTGGTTTGAAGTTGTCTGTAGTCTCTAAGACATTGTGGTGTTATTGTTTTTATTTATTTATTGTATATTGGTTTGCTTCACCCTATTTTTTGGTACTATTTTGTTTTAATATATCTGGGAAGCAGTCCAGGCATGCTGCTCTGCTCACTAGTTTGGCCACGCTGGGATGCTCACCACCTGTCTTCAGGTGGATTTGGTGACAGGTAGGAATATGGGCATCAGTCTCTGATTGCTGGTTGTGTAAAACAGCTGAGGGCAGGCTGAGTAAATGTTGGCTGCCATACTTTGTCAGTCTAGTGGTGGTAGAGCAGGTGTGGCATTAGCTCAGTGGGCAGTGTGGTGGGTAAGGCTGGGTAGGGTTGCTGGCTCCCAACTGCTAGGGGAAAAAAAGGTATAGGAAGAAGAAGAGAAAATAAATAAATAAATAACAAAAAAATGAAGGTGAAGAGGGAAGACCTAAGAAGAGAAAAAAAAAAAAAAAGGCACAATATTGACTCTAGTGCTGGTCTTCAACTTGCACTGCGTTAGTGTGCACCACTGCATATGGAAGGCAGGGACAAGCACTATTGAAGCTTAAGTGGTGAGGTGGGGCATCCACTCCATGGGATCAAAAAGGGGTAGGGGGATAATATAAATAAAAGAAGAAAACATGAGAGAAAGAAAATAAGAAAGAGAATACAAAAAAGAAAAGTAGCACAGAATAGGCACAAATGTTACATGCCAAAAACAGCTGCAGTGGGAACGTGGAGCTCACTCTGCAGGAGCATATGGCTCTGTTCATGGATGGGCAGTGGCCTGCACTGCTGACCATACGTGGGAGATGGACACCTGCTTCACGGGATCTAAAAAAATGGGGGGGGGGGTAGGGGATAGGTGAAGGAAAAAAAGAAAAAGAAAAAAAGCAAGAGGAGAAGAGGGAAGAAGAAGAAAGAAAAAAGAGGGGGAAAAACACAGTATTGGAAAAAGCATTCAGTGCCAAACAATCTGCAGTGGGAACATAGCGCTTGCTCCATGGGATCAAATGATTAAAAAGGTAGGGGAGGGAACAGAAAGAATAAGAAGAAAAGGTAAAAGGAAAAACTGTGTGGGGGCATAGAGGGAAGACCTAAGCTGAAAGATAAAGAAAATGGGGGGGGGGGGAAACACAGTACTGGTAGTTGGGGAACAGGTTTTTGACCGGGCATCGGATGAGTAGGGGATGCAGGGGGCATACTTCTGGTCACTTGGAGGTTGTGCAGTATAACAGGGAAGATCACACCACTTTGGTTGTTGATCACTGATGTGGGTGCTTGTATAGGCCTGGGCCAGCAGAGCCAGTTACCTGGGTCTTACCCTGATCAGACTGCTGCTTGCAATGATTCAGAATAGCTACGTGTGTCAGTTGGTGGTTCACTGTTCTGTATGCTTTCTTGTTCACTGTTTTTGTTCAGTCTCTTCCTATTATTGCTACTGGATCTTCTTTTCCCTTTCATTTGTGTTCCAGGATTGTCATCTGGATCAGTTTCACTTGGTTTCTCGAGTCTTTGTTGTAGAGAGTCTGGATTGTATATCTACCTAGTCTCCCATCTTAAATTTATTTTTTGTGTGTGTGTCTATGTTTTAGACCTTGTTTGGAAAGGATTACCCACTCTTTTATGTTTCAATCTTTGATCTGTATGGAATTTGTTCTGGTCTAATGGGGAAAAGATTGACCATTATTTTTAGCTTTCAAAAAATTTTCCAGTTGTCTCAACATTGTGTATTGAATATAGAGTATCATATTAAAAGAGTATTGTTTTTTAAAATCATGTAGTTCTTTTATAAGAAAGAGATACATAATCATTGCATTTCTCTTTTATAAATATTTGGAGCTTTTGTTCTCAATCTACTAAATATTTTATGGAAAAACTTTACACCTAAAAGCTAGTAGGCTGAGTCTAAGGAATGAAATGTCACTGCAGAAGTATATTGCCCAACCGAGGAAGGTGGTACTGCCTTGGAAACCCAAGGAGGGGTCGCTATGAGTCAGGGCCGACTTGACAGCAACAACAACAAAGGCTGTTACATTCTTACTTGTATTGTCATCCTCCCAATTACATATTGAGGTTATTGTTGTTAGATGCCATCAAGTCGATTTCAACTCTTAGCGACCATATGTATAACAGAAAGGCCCAAGCCTGCAGCACCATCCTTACAATCCTTTCTATGCTTGTTGTAGCCACTGTGTGAGTCCGTCTTGTTGAGAGTCTTTCATTTTTTCACTGACTCTCTACTTTACCAAGCATGATATCCTTCTCCAGGGAATGGTTCCTTCTGACAACATGACCAAAAATAGTTAAGATGAAGTCTGGCTATTCTTGCTTCTAAGGAGCATTCCCGCTGCACTTCTTCCAGGACTGATTTGTTCATGCCACCAGAGCGCCTATTCTTCTGGCAGTCTGTGGTATTTCCAGTATTCTTTGCCAGCACCACAATTCAAAGACATCGATTCTTCTTTGGTCTTCTTTATTCATTGTCCAGCTTTCACATGCTTATGAGGTGATTGAAAATACAATGGCTTGAGTTAGGCGCACCATAGTCTTCAAAGTGACATCTTTACTCCTTGACATTTTAAAGCAGTCTTTTGCAGCAGATTGGCCCAGTGCAATACAATGTCTGATTTCTTAACTGCTACTTCCATGGATGTTGATTGTGGATCCAAGTTAAATGAAATTTCTGACAAATTTAATCTTTTCTCCTTTTGTCAGTCAACACATTGAGGTAGGTGAATATTCATCTGTTTATTGGAGAAATTAAATGACTCGTCCAGGCTCACACTACAAGAAAGTGACAGCCAGGATTCAAATCTTGGTCTCCTGATCGCGAGTACAGAGTTCTGTTGGCCACCTTCTGTGTAATGTTATATCATGTCTGGTAATTTATGCTTCTAAACAATATGGTACACAGTGTTGTTTTTAGGTGCTGTCGAGTTGGTTCCCACTCATAGCGATCCTGTGCACAAAAGAGCAGGACACTGCCCAGTCTTGCACCATCTTCACAGTCATTGCTGGGTTTGAGCCCATTGTTGAAGCTCCTGTCCGTCCATCTCACTGATGTTCTTCCTCTTTTTAGCATGCTTTACCAAGCATGGGTCCTTCTCCTGGGACTGGTCCTTCCTAATAACATATCCAAAGTATGTGAGAAAAAGTCTCACCATCCTCACTTCTAAGGAACATTCTGGCTGTACTTCTCCCAAGACAGATTTGTTCATTCCTCTGACAGTCCATAGTATATTTAAGGTTCTTCACTAACACCATAATGCAGATGCTTAAGTTCTTCTTCAGTCTTCCTTATTCATTGTCCAGCTTTCGCATGCATATGAGACATTTGAAAATACCATGGTTTGAGTCAGGTACACTTTACTCCTCAAAGTGACGTCTTTGTTTTTTAACACTTTAAAGAAGTCTTTGACAACAGATTTGTACAGTGCACTGTGCCGTTTTATTTTTTGACTGCTACTTCCATGAGCATCGATTATGGATGCAGGTGAAATGAAATCATTGATAATTTCAATCTTTTCTCCATTTATCAAGATGTTGTTTATTGGTTCAGCTGTGAGGATTTTTTTTTTTCTTTTTGTTGAAGTGAAGGTGCTTTGATAGTGCTGTGGTTAAAGCATTGGACTGCTAACCAAAAGGTTAGCTGCTCTGTGGGAAAAAGATGAGATAGTCTGCTTCCATAAAGATTTTCACCTTGGAAACTTTATGAGGCAGTTCTACTCTGTCCTATAGGGTCTCTGTGAATTGCAATCACTTGAATGGCAGTGGATGTGGTTTAGTTATATTGAAGTATAATCCATACTGAAGGCTGTAGTCTTTGATCTTCATCAGTAAGTGTATCGAGTCATCTTTTGTTTCAGCAAGCAAGGTTATGTTATCTGCATATAGCAAGTTGTCAGTGAACCTTCCTCCAATCCTGATACTGTATTATTCTTCATACAGTCCAGCTTCTCAGATTATTTGCTCAGCATACAGATTGAATCAGTATGATGAAATGATAAAACCCTGATGTATACCTTTTCTGATTTTATCCAGCAGTGAGTTTGGTTTCATTTTTATTTACATTGAAAGGAGTTCTGGTAACACAGTGGTTAAGGCAATCTGAAAGGTTGGTAGTTCAAACCCACCAGCTGCTCTGAAGGAGAAAGATAAGGCAGTCTGCTTCTGTAAAGAATTATAGCCTTGGAAACCCTATGGGGAAGTTCTACTTTGGTCTATAGGGTCTCTATGAGTCGGAATCAACTCGATAACACTGAGTTTTTGGTATTTACATCGAGGCACATTTTAATATATTCAGACTGCAAATTCAAATAACACTTAATAGAACTTCAGTGAACAAAATTCAGCACAAAGTTAATTCATTAAGTGTTAAAATCAACTTTTAGAATGCCAGTATTTTCATAGTGCTATTCGTATGTGGTTTTTAAATTAGATCACAAAAATTGCTTTTCTTTTAAATAGAAAATGTTATCAATCACACGGATGAAGAAGGATTTACTCCTCTGATGTGGGCTGCAGCACACGGGCAAATAGCTGTGGTAGAATTTCTACTTCAGAATGTAAGGAAAATGCCTTAGAAAATGTATATGCATAGTTACTTAAGTTCAGTCAAGTCTTTATTAAACTTTTCATGTCTCCTGCCAGCTAGATACAATGGTATAGAGGATACAAAGAAAATTATAAAATGTTTTTCACGTTCTCATAGTACTTAGATCTAGTTGGGGAAGCAAGACTTGAATGGTGAAAGAGAATGTAATGCCCAGCCCCTCTTAGCGCAGTGGGAACCAAAGTCCTGTCAGCCCTGTAGGAGAAGGCTTCATGGAGGAAGTATAATTTGACTCCAGAGTGAAAGGATATTAAGATTCAGATAGAAGGGAAGAAGGAAGACATCCAGACCATCTTTGTAACAAGGTCATATATGGATAAAAGTTTGCATCACTTTTTTGTTAACCCAGAATATTATCTGACTTAAGTACTCTTGTTTAAATTAATCGATAAGTCTTTTTTCCTCCACTTCTCACCCCAGGGTGCTGATCCCCAACTTTTAGGAAAAGGTCGAGAAAGTGCACTGTCATTGGCCTGTAGTAAAGGCTATACAGATATTGTGAAAATGCTGCTTGACTGTGGAGTTGATGTTAATGAATATGATTGGGTGAGTGTGTATTGAATTTTAAATTTCTATAAAGACACCACTCTAGAATTAATGTGGTATTTGGGGAACATAATTGTTTTAAATACCTAGAAGAGAAATTAAAATTAAATGTCATAACCTCAAGTTTTAATTATAGTTTACATAGTCTTCACGTAGTATTAAAATTATTCTACACTACTTTTAGATGCCTAGTTCTTAGTAAAACTTGTCACAGCAGCATTAATTTTTTTGATTCTCACCCACTCTGAGTAACTCTAAGTTGCCTTTTGTTTTTACAGAATGGAGGGACACCTTTGCTTTATGCTGTGCATGGAAATCATGTGAAATGTGTAAAAATGCTTTTAGGTAAGCATATGAAAGTGACATTTATTTAGAAAATGCCATGTGAGGATATATTTTTTAAAACCTGGCCTCAGCTGGTATTACTCAGGAGAATCGTTGTTGCTGGTTATCATGAAGTTGATCCCAAATCATAGTGACCGCATGTGACAGAGTAGAACTGCCCTAGAGGGTTTTCTTGGTTTTAATCCATAGGGAAGTAGATTGCTAACTCTTTCTTCTACAGAGTTGCTGGGTGAGTTGGAACCACCAACTTTTTAGTTAGCAGCCAAATGCTTAACCATTGTGCATCCAAACACAAAGCTATCAAGTTTATTCCAACAAATTGCAAGCCTGTAAGACAGAAAACTGCCACATATGGTTTCCAGATCTTTTATTGAAGTAAATTGCCATGTCTTTCTCATGCAGAGCAGTTGGTGGGCTTGAACTGCTACCTTTTTGTTAGGAGCCAGGCACTTAACCACTGTGACACTAAGGCTCTGTTGTTAAATAGTTAAATCCCTGCTGCCATTCACCCCTTGAGCGCCTCCTGCCACAGAGTTGCTTTTGTGAGAAGCAGCTTCTTCCTACACCACATCTATAGTTGGAGCACTTGCCCTTGTTGCTTTCATTTGGGAAGTCCTGTTTGAATCCACTGTTTGTTTTTTCTGTCCATAGTGTTTTATGCATAAGTTTTGTCTTTAGTTATTAGTTTCAGCTACTGTAGAGGATGCCTTTTCTATTGATGTGTCTTCCCTCCAACCCACCAAAGTGAATTCTGTGCACCCCATGTACATTGTACTTTGTTAGACTATCCTGAACATAGCAGATTTACTAAAAAGAATATGTCCTGCTACTTGTATAAGAGCCAGTAATAGACAAACATATCCAAATTTTTATTTATGTAGATTTCTCTATTTTGGTGGAGAAAATGGAGCTGACCAAACAGTTGAAACTGACTCTGGATATAATTCCATGGATTTAGCTGTAGCCCTAGGCTATAGAAGTGGTAAGTATTTTAGAACTCTTAAGATTTTTATCTTAGTAAAGTTCTGTAAATAGTACAGTGGTCCAGTTTTCATAATTTGTAGTCATGAAACATTACTAACCTAACTCCTGACATAGGCATCTAACTATGAGCAAAGTAATCAAATTCCTATAAAATTACTTTTTACCAACCCAAAAAATTAGTCAGTGGAAGATAAATGCATGCTTATTTACAAGATGTGTTTAACATTTCAAGGAAAATATGTATATAAAATTCTTCATAATTACACTTTCTTTGTCCTTCAAACAAACTTGTTCTCTGAACTCTCCTTTAGTTTCACAAATGCAGAAACCAATTCACAGAAAGTCCAGTAATTTGGACAAAGTTGCAGTTGGGAGCAGATAAAATTTTAGCTTGTAGAAATTTATTTCATGATAGCATTGCATTATTGCCCTTAAACTATGAATATATGCTACTTAAAAATAAATTTATTTTAGGGTATAATTAGGGATGTTAAGTTAAACTTAAGGTTTTAAAAAATTTGTTATCAATATACAGTGATCTTGAATACCTTTCTGTTCTAGTTCAACAGGTTATTGAGTCACATTTATTGAAGCTGCTTCAAAATATCAAAGAGTAGACATAATTGTCAGAAAATGTTGTCTGCCCTTTTGTTTACCTTTTGGCCTTGATAAATGATAGTTTTGTTTACTTATAAATTTTTACCTCAGTTGCAATATTTACTGATTTTTAGTACATTTTAATAAATATTCCTCTGAGTAATTCACTGGTTTTTAATAAAATTAATGATGCTCTTTTATAAATATGTTTTACTGCATATTTTAAATTATAAATTAATGTTTGTGGCATGTAAATTTTTATGGTACAGATAGTTATCAGTCTTTGTATCAAGTACTATAATTTGATATTTTCAGAAATTATTCCACCCTATTCATCTTTACTCTTGTATTAAGTCATTGACTTTATATAGAGGTTGCTATAAATCCATAGAAGATAAATTTTGTTATTGTTAAAGTAAAAAATGCACAGTGTGATTGTTTACAAAATGCTGTTATAAATAAAGTACTTTTTCTGTCAGTTTGCATGCTAGTTTTTTAAATTATTTAAGATTATTGGGGATTTCTGTGGGGATTTATTCCAACCATTTTGTCATGCCAGGACACCATTAGACCAAACAGTGTAATTAAAATAAATTAATTGTATTTTAATTTATTAAAAGACTTACTGATTCCCATTTTATTAGGATATTTAGAATATGATTCTTTTGTAAATAAGTTTATTAGTAGGAAAAGCCTTCCATGAAAGGAAAGTTCATTCTTCAATAAATGTCAGATGCCACTCCTTGGAAGGAAGGTTGGGCAATCCTGCTTCCGTAGTGATACTGCCTCGGAAACCCAAGGAGGGGTCGCTTTGAGTCGGGGCCTACTCGACGGCACATAACAACAACAACAACAACAACAAAGGAGCACTATAAACTCCTGTTATACCAAAATTGAAGTTGATTCTACCGGTGACTGTGGGACTTGAGTTAAATCCCTTCATCTGGAAAATAGAGCTAATAAGAGCCCTGGTGGCACAACAATTAAGTGTTCCCACCCATTGCCAGTAAGGCATACACTTTAAATTTATTTCCTTGCACTGTTGATGGATTTACCTAAAGCCATTCACCCTTTCATTTGATTACTTTCTTATTAGTGCATACCCATTAAGTGATAAATTGTGTTCACATTACACAGTAACAAAATCCAGTGATCCATTTGGGCACATCCCTCTGAGTTTTCTTGGAAGTGCTTTCCCCACTGAAGAGCAAGCAAACAACCTATGCTGGTGTTCAGTCTACAATAATCACTCAGTCTGACTCTTATGGTTGACAAACAACAGATCTCAGAGACTATCCTGAAGAAAATTCTCCCCTTTCCAGTTCTACCATGTTTTAGCTTCAGGGTCTCTAAGACAGCCCCCCCAAAAAATCCCTTTAAAAATAGACACTAATACAAATTAATTAAAGCAACAAGAGTAATGCTTAAGGCTAGTTACCAAACTCCTCTTTAAAAAATCAGATACCTCTTAGGTAGTATTTATTGATTCAACAAATGCTTATTCAGAACTTTTGTACCAGACACCCTGACTTCTACCGAAAGGATAAAATACCAAACAAGAGCACAGCTCTGCATCAAAATGCTCGTTCTCCAGTATTAGGGCCCATTCTCACTACAGTGTGAAATGCATCGAGGGTGAAGAATTTTCAAAAGTTTAAAAAAATATTACTCTCACGTAAATAGGAAACGAATACCTGACAAGGATTTTATTCAACTCATTAATTAAGGGAGAACCTATAAGATGTTAAAGCTAGTTCCAAGACTGCAGAGGATATGGGGAGATTGGAACATTTATCCACTACTGGTGGGATTGTAAAATGATACCACCACTGAGAACAGTATGGCACTTCATCAAAAAGCTAGAAGTAGAAATACCTTGTGATCTGGCAATCTCACTTCTAGGTATATATCCTAGAGTTATAAGAGCAATGACACAAGTAGACATAGGCACACGTATGTTCATTGTAACATTATTCACAATAGCAAAAAGATGAAAACAAGTGCCCATCGATAGATGAAGAGATAAGATAAACAGACTATGGTACATACACACAATGGCATACTGTGCAACATTAAAGAATAATGAGTCTGAAAAATATAACATGGATGAATCTGGAGGACATTATTCTGAGTGAAATAAGTCAAACATAAAAGGACAAATACTGTATGATCTCATTTTTATAAAAGTCAAGAATGGGTATATACACAGAAAACAATGTTCTTTGATGGTTACCAGGGATTGGAAGGGGAGAGGGAGAGTCACTTTCTAGATAGTAGACACTTGTTACTTTTGATGATAGGAAAAGCAATACCTAATAGGGGCGAGGGAGCTCTGGTAACATAGTGCCTAAGGCATTTGACTGCTAACCAGAAGGCTGGTGGTTCAAACCTACTAGCCACTCCTCAGAAGGAAGATTGGGCAATCTACTTCTGTAGTGATACCCCCTCAGAAACCCAAGGAGGGGACGCTATGAGTCAAATCCAACTTGATATCAGTGAGTTTTTTTTTTTTTTATTTAAATAGGGTGAAGTCTGCACAACTTGTCCAAAATAAATGAATTGCACACTAAGAAGTACACAAGAATAAGGGATGATTTTGGTAATGATATGACATACAATTTTGTAACAACAATGATAACAACCAAAAAATATGTGTGTGGTTATAAGGTAAACATGTATACATATATGTGTATAGAAAACCAAACTCACTGCTATCAAGTGACCCATAGCAACCCCCATTGGGTTTCTGAGGCGGTAAATCTTTACAGAAGTAGATAGCCCCACCTTCCTTCCACAGAGCAGCTGGTGGGTTTGAACTGCCAGTCTTTCGGCTAGCAGTGTAGCAGTCAAATGCCTTGGAAGGAATATGTGAGTATATGTGTGTGTATGGGAAGGTGTATCTGTTGGCATATGTATGTATGTGTTTATGTGCACTGCATATATATTCATATACTACCCAGACATAACCATACACCTCATGGGATTGGTTTTTAAAGACTTGGGACCATAGACCCATGGGACAGTTGAGTCAGTTGACATAACACAGTTCGTAAAGATAGTGTTCTAGATCCTAGTTTGGTGAGTAAAGTCTGGGATCTTAAAAGCTTGTGAGTGGCTATCTAAGATGCAACTATTGCTCTCTTCCCATCTCAAGCAAAAGACAATGAAGGAAACCAAAGACTCAAGGAAGGAATTATTCCATAGGACTAATAACCCACATGAACCATGATCTCATCTAATCAGACCAGAATAAGAAGATGATGCCCGGTTACCACTACTGACCTTTCTGATCAGAGACACAGTAGAAGGTCCCAGACAGAAAGGGAGAGAAATGAACGAAACTCAAGTACCTAAAAAATTCCAGACTTACTGGATTGATAGAGACTAGAGGAACCTCTGAGAGTATCACCCTAAGATATCCTTTGAACTTGGAACTGAAACCACTCCTAATAGTCATCTTTCATACAGATAATAGAATGTCTCATAAAATAAACAATATCACCCATTAATACTGTGCTGTCTTGAATAATCAACTATATGAGACCAAATGGTCAACATTTACCCTGAAACAAAGATGAGACACTAAGGAGGGGCAGGAAAACTAGATTAATGGAAACAGAATGAAAAGAATGGAAATGATGAGAATGTAGACACATTGTGAAAAATTTAACCAATACCATGGAATAAGTTGTATAAAAATTGTTAAATGGGAACCTAACTTGCTATGTAAACTTTCACCTAAATTCAATTCATTAATTAGGGAAACTGTAAGATGTTAAAACTAGTTTCAAGACTGGAAAAAATGTGGGGAGATGGAATTTTTACTCATTGCTGGTAGGGTTGTAAAAGATATAACCAGTATGGAAACAAGTATAGTACTTCCTCAAAGTGTTAGATATAGAGCTGCCTTATGCTCCAACAATCCCACTCCTGGGCATATACCTAGAGATCTAATAGCAGTGATATGAGCAGACATATGCACACCTACATTCATTGCAACAGTACTCACAATAGTGAAAAGAGGGAAACTACCTAAGTGCCCATCAACAGATGAATGGATAAACAAAATGTGACACATACAAACGGTAGAATACTATGCAGCCATAAAGAATAATAATGATGAGTTCTCAAAACAGCATGGATGAATCTGGAGGACATTATACTGAGTGAAATAAGTCAATCACAAAAGGACAAAAATTTGATGATCACACTTTTATAAAAACAAGAATAGGCACATATATAGAGACTAACATTCATTGTTGGTTACCAGGATAGGGGAGGCAGAAAAGTGGGGAAATCACTCTGTAAATAATAGACATTTGTTATTTTTTGTGATGGGAAATGCAACACCAAACGGGTGAAATGTGCACAGCCTCACCAAGGCAAATGACATCACTAAGATGTACACAAGAAAAAGGACCCTCTGGTGGCATAGTGCTTAGGCATTTGACTGCTAATCAGAAGGCTGGAGGTTCAAACCCACCAGCCACTCCTCAGAAGGAGGGTTGGGCAATCTACTTCCATACTGATGCCGTCTCAGAAACTCAAGGAGGGGTTGCTATGAGTCCGATCCGACTCGACAGCAGTGAGTTTTTATTTTTCTGTTGTTGTTAATTGCTACGGGCATACATAGGAGCTCTGGTAGCATAGTGCCTAAGGCACTTGACTGCTAACCAGAAGGCTGGCGGTTCAAACCCACCAGCCACTCCTTGGAAGGAAGGTTGGGCAATCTACTTCCGTAGTGACGCTGCCTCGGCAACCCAAGGGGGGTTGCTATGAGTCGGGTCCAGCTTGACAGCACATAACAACAACGACAACATGGCATACATAATTTGGCAACAACAGCAACAACCAAATATACATGTACGGGTATATACATATGTATGTATGTATGTGAGTATGTACATAGGTGTGTGTATGGGAGTATATATGTGGGTTTTTACAGGTATATGTATATGCATATGCATGTATATGTGTGCATGCATATATATTCATATACAAAATAAAGTGCATACCCCTATGGGTACAGTTACAGATACTACTTAGACATAACCAAACACCTTCCAGGACTGGTTTTCTGGGCTTAAAGGCTTAGGATCATAGTTTTGTGGGACAACTTAGTCAATTGGCATAATATAATAAAGTTTATGTTCTACATCCTAATCTAATGAGTAGAGTTTGGCCATCTAGGATACAACTATTGGTCTCTAGTTATCCAGAACAAAAGAGGTAGACGGAAACCCAAGATGTAGAAGAAACTACAGGACTGTCTACAGCAACCATAACCTCATCTACCCTGAGACCAGAAGAACTAGGTGGTGCCCAGCTACCACTACCAGTTGTTCTGGTTAGGACTGCAATAGGTGGATCCTGACAGAACAGGGAAAAATGTGAACAAAACCCAAATTCTTAAAAAATCCAGAATTTCTGGACCAATTGAGACTAGAGGACTCCCTGAGACTATTGCTCTGTTATTGA